TGGCTCTATCCCCGCCTCTTTGACCTGTCTGTCTCCTCTCCACCTATCTTCTCCTCTATCCATCTTCTGTCCGCCTCCCCCTCTCTCCCTATTTATTTCTGAAGAAGGGTCTAGGCCCGAAACGTCAGCTTTCCTGCTCCTCTGATGCTGCTTGGCCTGCTGTGTTCCTCCAGCTCTACACCTTGTTATCTCCAATATAGCATATTGCTTTTTTTTTTAAAACGAAACCATGTTACAGTAGATCTAAAAGTCTGGTATTGAGTGGCCTGTACAACCCACAGTGACAACTTTGATCAGTCTGCTCCCTCCGAGTTACTGCGCCACCAACCCAGAGAGCAGTGTATGTTGGCCTTGCTGATGTGTCTCTGCCCTCTGCCTATCTCAGAGTAACTTCAACTTTGCCATCGTGAACATTGGAGCCCCAGCAGCAGGGATGAACGCAGCTGTGCGTTCTGCAGTTCGAGTCGGCCTCTCGTTGGGTCATGTTGTCTACACTGTCGCCGATGGGCTGGAAGGCTTTGCTGCAGGCCAGGTCAGTGTTCCACAGCCTTGTTCATGTCCGTGTCGAGCCAGATTGCTCCCCGCGTTCGCGAGGTATTGGGCAGGTGTTCAACTACATCTAGCTGGATACCAGACAATCTCCTGTGGCATTGCTCCCAGTGATGAAGGAAACTCTCGTCTCTGCATTAATAGCGCGGGTCTTTTGGCACTGACAGATGACTGTGCTGTGTGTTATCATGTAGTTAAATATAAAAGTATCTTTTGTGTCCTGTGACATTGCTCACATTGCGTTAGTGAAGACACTGCCGTATAATAACAGGGATGTTAACAATATAATGTAACGGGAAACAAGAGAAGTGTGTGTTACTCAGCAGAACTGATACATTTTTGATGCGTGTCCCCCTTGCCCTTTTTTTTTCCCTGCAGATTAAGGAAATGAGATGGTGTGATGTTGGAGGCTGGACTGGACAAGGTGGCTCACTGCTGGGCACGAAACGGTGAGTGTTGCCTCTTCACCCTGGTGACCATTCCCTCCCCTGCTCCACCAAGCAGATTGTGTTGTTGTATAAAGTCTCTGTCTGGCATCGAACTGTGCACAAGTTATTCGGAAACCAGCTGTTTATATCGCTGGGATCACTTGGAATGGTCTTCCGGATGTTGCTTGTTCACATAGAATCCCTACAGTGTCCCCTCTTAAGCACACCCACGAGAAGAGAACTGTGAAACCACAATCCCATCGGTGTTGGGTATGTCCTGATAATGCTGTTGAGTCGGAGGGTCCTGGGGTCAAGTGCCACACGAGGGCTACGAGCCTGTTCTGCCAGTCCAGTGCTGAGGGGGTGCTGCAGTCTCTGATGCCATCATTCAGATATGTTCCCTCACCAAAATAGCCATTCTTTAATTTTTAAGCATTGTTTGTCTGATGGCAGAATATTCCACCATGGGGATCCTCATAGCTCAGTCCTATAAATGTTCACCTCGTGTGTGTGTGTGTGTGTGTACACACCTAGGCACACAAACACACACATACTCACGCATGGTTGTGTAAAATGGTGGAGCTCAATAGTGTAAACTAAGGGCAGATTGGTGCACAAGCCCAAAACCAGGGGCCATAACTATAATAAAATCACGAATAAAGTCAAGATGTGTCTTTACCCACAACTCACCAGTGCAGGGAGGCAAATAGCTGTGCACACTATAGATAAGTACATGAGGGTAGAAGGACATGCTGATAGGGATTGGATGATGTGAATTGAGAAGGGTTTAGTGTGGAGCTGACAGAGACCAGTTTGACTGACTGGCCTGTATCTATGCAGTGATTCTATCAGTGTTCCTCACCCTCGCCGTCAGAGGCCCACAATCCCTCAGCGTTCTTGTACAGGCTTGAACTTACACTGACGTTGTTTGAACGTATCTGCTGCTATTTCCTTCCTTTCGTTTGCAGGACGCTCCCCGAGAAGTGCATGGAGCAGCTGGTGAAACAGATCCGGCAGCACCGGATCCACGCTCTCCTCATTATTGGTGGGTTTGAGGTGAGACGTTCCGCATGATCGGCGAGTCGGGGAAGCTCCTGTCACTCCTCCTCCTCTTCCCCGCCCCCTGCAGCTCTGGCCAACCCTTCCCATCTCCCCATCTCATTTGCTTTGTTGAGCTGCCAGGCAAGGAGTGGTGCAGAGCATTGCTCAGCCTCGCCACCTGTTGATGTAACCTGGTACCGGAGCCACGACGACCAGAATGGACATCCTATTTTTTTTTCTCTTGCTGCCATTGTAGCAATTTCGAACAACCCATGGAGCTGGTGACGTTCATCTGGAGCATGAGGTCTGTTAGGTTGTCACGGGGGAGGCGCGGTGGGGCGTAACTCAGATCCTTGCAGAGTCAGCGGCCGTGTGTTCAAGTTCCTAATCTGAGAACCAGGGTGTACAGGCCGGCCTGGCACGTGCAGTACAGCCCCGAGGCTGTTATCAAGTACAACCCTGACCGTCAGGCTCAGAGGCTTTCAAGTGTTTTGTCCTAAAGCACCTTCCCACATGTCAGCCTGCAAAAATCGAGACCCATCACACTTTCCCTAACAGGACTACTTCATTCCAAGGCACTTTCACGCTGACCCGTCTACCTAAAAGCCACAGACCATTTATTTTTTTAAAAATAATAAAAAAATTGATGTTTGGTGTTGCCGACGTCCGCGATCTCTCCTGTTTTCACTGCTTTTGGCCTCCTCCGGCCCAGAGTCCAGACCTCCTCTGCGCTTTGCAGCTTCTTTTCAGGAATCGGTCAGTGTGTTCGTCTGAGGTAAAAGTGAATTGAAGCGACGCCTGTTTCTCGTTCCTCACCAGGCTTTCGTGGCGGCCTTGCAGCTGACTGAGGGGCGGGAACACTACGAAGAGCTCTGCATCCCCATGTGCGTCATCCCGGCAACCATCAGCAACAACGTGCCAGGCACTGACTTCAGCCTTGGCTGTGATACCGCAGTCAATGCAGCTATGGAGGTAAGTCGGGGTTGGAGGGGGGGATGTGGTGGGTTGTTCAGCTCCATCCAAGTGCAGTGCCCAGTCAGATCAGGTTTTTTTTTTAATTCATTAATGGCATGAGGGTGTCGCTGGCTAGGCAGCATTTATTGCCCATCCCAAATTGCCCAGAGGGCAGCTCAGAGTCAACCACATTGCTGTGGGTCTGGAATCACATGTAGGCCAAGCCTGGTAAGGATGGAAGTTTCCTTCCCAAAAGGACATTAGGGAACCAGGTGGGTTTTTCCAGCAATGGATTCATGGTCATCATTGTACTCTTAATTCCAGACTTTCTTTTTTTTTTATTGAATTCAAATTCCACCATCTGCCGAGGCAGGATTCGAACCCACGGCCCCAGAACGTTATGTGGGTCTCTGGATTAACAGCCCAGTGATAATACCACCTTAGGCCATCGCCTCACCTCAGGGATCAGAAGGGCCTGGGCTCGCAGCGACCTGGGGAATTGAGGTCTGGGGCCTGGGGGAATCGAGGTCTGGATCGGAGGGATTTAGGAAGTTGAGGCCCAGTGTTTGGCAAAACACTGTTAGGTTAAATGTTAGACAACAAGGTGCAGGGCTGGATGAACACAGCAGGCCAAGCAGCATCATAGGAGCAGAGAGGCTGACGTTTCGGGCCTAGACCCTTCATCAGAAAAGGGGGAGGGGAAGGGGGTTTTGAAATAAATAGGGAGAGAGTGGGAGGCGGATAGAAGAGGGATAGAGGAGAGGATAGGTGGAGAGGAAACAAACAGGTCGAAGAGGCGGGGATGGGGCCAGGAAAGGTGAGTGTAGGTAGGGAGTTAGGAAGGGGATAGGTCAGTCCAGGGAGGACGGACAGGTCAAGGGGGCGGGATGAGGTTGGTCGGTAGGAGATGGAGGTGCGGCTTGAGGTGGGAGGAGGGGATAGGTGGGAGGAAGAACAGGTTAGGGAGGCAGGGACGAGCTGGACTGGTTTTGGGATGCGGTAGGGGGAGGGGAGATTTTGAAACTTGTGAAATCCACATTGATACCATTGGGCTGCAGGGTTCCCAAGCGGAATATGAGTTGCTGTTCCTGCAACCTTCGGGTGGCATCGTTGTGGCACTGCAGGAGGCCCAGGATGGACATGTCGTCTGAGGAATGGGAGGGGGAGTTGAAATGGTTCGCGACTGGGAGGTGCAGTTGTTTGTTGCGAACCGAGCGTAGGTGTTCTGCAAAGCGGTCCCCGAGTCTCCGCTTGGTTTCCCCGATGTAGAGGAAGCCACACCGGGTACAGCGGATGCAGTATACCACATTGGCAGATGTGCAGGTGAACATCTGCTTGATGTGGAAAGTCTTCTTGGGGCCTGGGATGGGGGTGAGGGAGGAGGTATGGGGGCAGGTGTAGCACTTCCTGCGGTTGCAGGGAAAAGTGCCGGGTGTGGTGGAGCTGGAGGGGAGTGTGGAGCGGACAAGGGAGTCACGGAGAGAGTTGTCCCTCCGGAAAGCAGATAAAGGTGGGGAGGGAAAGATGTCTTTGGTGGTGGGGTCGGATTGCAGATGGCGGAAGTGTCGGAGGATGATGCGTTGGATCCGGAGGTTGGTGGGGTGGTACGTGAGGACGAGGGGGATTCTTTTTTGGTTCTTATTGCGTGGACGGGGTGTGAGGGATGAGTTGCGGGAGATGTGGGAGACACGGTTGAGGGCGTTCTCGACCACCGAGGAGGGGAAGTTACGGTCCTTGAAAAACGAGGACAACTGAGATGTACGGGAGTGGAATGCCTCATCCTGGGAGCAGATGCGGCGGAGGCGAAGGAATTGGGAATAGGGGAT